AACACCCTTGACAATTGAAAAACAAATAATTTATACTCAAAGTCAAAACATTCCGGGAGCCTTAAAACATTGTTTAGCACCCAAAAATAAAGATATATGCCATTGTAAGACACCCCAACCCCCCTAGAAAACTATTGCGACAGAAGAAATGAAAAATAATTTGTCATTAAATTGCAAACTAATCTAGAGCAAAGACAATCTCAATTGGGGGAATATCAATCCCAACTCTGCAAAATTGAAGCAACATGAAAACCCAAAAAACTATAAAGAATTTCACATAAAGTGATAAAACCAGATCATAAAAATGAAAGCATATGTGCAGTACTAATATTCACCATGCCAGAGGCATTACTATCTAAGAATAATGTTTGTTCAGGATGAAGTATAGGCATCAAGGTTCTTGATTATTACCATTTGCCCATCTAACATGTTAAGAGAACCTCTTTTTATTTCATATGATGACTTGAAAAGAATCAATAGTTTGGACAAAACTATGGCCATGCTGGAGAGTTTATGCTTCTAAAAATGTTGCATCTTTGATCCCTAAAGGAGATCATCGCCGGAGAGGGGCGAGGAAAGCGGGGCCGGCAAAATAACCATTTTGGTAGTTGATAATGGAGCAAAGGCTGAATAAAACATGGATAAGCATGTCTTATCATCCCTGGTCTTCCTTCTCCTTATGAGATGTGTGGAATCAACCCCGCGAGCCTTCCTCTTTCTACATCCTTTTTGAACCACAGGATGAACCACAAGAAAGGTGGTAAGATTTGAACCTATGGCCGGACCACCCCTAACTTGCTAGATTGAGTAGCTGAGTTAGCACCTCTCGTCGCCTCTGTACCCGAAACAGATGCAATTTGCTATCCAATGCGTAACCTTGTCTACCCTACCCCTTTTCTTGTTATACCATTACCAATCACGAGTAACCCCCAGCCCAACCACCCTTGACCTAAGAAGAACGATTATCCTTATGACCAAACAAGAACCAGCTTACTTATTTCTCAAGTGATAGTTTCACGATCCTAATCAGCAACTTGTTGGGAGTAACGGCAACGACTGCTTTGAAAATAAACAAATTTCTAGGGAGTATAAGGGTAAATACTGGTTGCATGTGGTTTTTTTTGTTAATAGAAATACCGCTATTTTACTATTAATTACTTTGTTATTCTCCAACTTATTAACCAATTATATAATTGTTAAAATTGTCTTTGGAACCTGTTATAGTATTTTAAACAAAACAGAGTTTTTATGTGGGAACTCAATCTCACATTGACTAAATATCTAAAAGTATTTGAATATATATATATATATATAGATATTAACCTTTGAGTTAAAGTGAGAATTTAAGACTCTCAAGTGCGCAGGAATGGGACAAGCGAAGTAGTTATTACAAAATATTAAACACCTATATTTTCCATATATATATTTCAGTATAGAAAAATACAATCTGAAAATTTACTACAATCTCTCTACTGTAAAATTTCTAGGCAATATTCAAACGTGTCGCGTGAAGCTTCTATTTCATTCAACTGAGCAATTTTCAAAGGTGTCGTGTGAAGCTTCTGCTTCATTCGACTGGGCAATATTCAAAAGTGTCGTGTTAAGTTTCTATTTCATTCAACTGGGCAATATTCAAAGGTGTCGTGTGAAACTTCTATTTCATTCGATTATACAAATCTGAGTGAAACAACAGTTAATAAGTTGAACTGTTGTATCCAGCGGACGATGCGTTATTACCTTTTGCGTTGTGTTTCTTTCATAAAAGGGCGCGAATCGTCTTAAGAGAGCGACTTAATCTACGTCTCACCCTGCCGTTCACTTTATCTTTCGGATTTCATTGTTTCAACAAAACCCACATTTTTAGATAGAAAAAAGCAGGAACATAATTCATAGTTTTATAAAATTATAGTAGATTGCTGAATAAGTTGAAAACTACTATAGAAAATTGTCATATAAAACTTATTATTGCATTCTGTACGTTGTATCAAAATCAAACAATATAAACTTAAACTAAAGACTTAATTTGGGAATCTAATGGATTATTATACTTGGATTAGTAGGTGACCTCATTCAATATTGTATGCAACTAATCAAATGATAACGGTGCATTAAGTCCCAAAATCAGATCCTAATAGTATTGTTCAACTACAAAAATTGTCCTTAAAAATAAATTATTTTTATACAAGCGAAAATGAGGAGTGACATTGGAATCTAATTCACAGATTAAATTCATTGATATCATTTGAGTAACAAAGGGTTTTAAAAAGGCCTTGGATGATCACCAACAAAAAAAAGGTAACTTATGGTAACATTTTCCACCTCAAGTTTTGAATTTGGACTTTTAAGTGCACTAACAATGCAATATGTACATTGCATGCGAAAGTTTTCGTTAAAACATTTGATAAAATACATAAAAATTTAATTATATAGTTAAATTAGATATTATCCCATATTTATCATATTTAAATTATTTGTATTGTGAATGAAGAAAAAAAGATATATAAAAATAATAATGTGTCAATAAAGTTGTCGACGTGTTAAATATTAATATTGGGGTTTTGAAAAAAAAAAGAATAATAATATTTTTATATATTCTATTAAGAGTAACATGACCATCTAAAAATTTTGCAAAAATAAAGAGATGCACATGATATAATAGAAGTTAATTTATTATTTAAGTATAGAAGGATATAATAATAATTTTATATATTTAAATACAAAATAACATGTTTGCCCTTATAGTACTCCACAGATTTTGCAGTGGAAATTAAACTATTTACGAACTTGGATAATAGTTACACTAGCAGGTTCTAATTCTGTTGTACAATTGGGGTACCTAATTCTATTGTACAACAATAACTGATAAATTAAGACCAGGGCAGAAAAAAAAAAAATAGCTAACCATTGACAGAGTCGTAGATCCTGCCCTAGCTTTTGCTTGCAACAGAGGCCAGCAATTTCAATTTACCATCGTCGTAGAGGCACAACGCCATCCCAGATGGATTCATTCACTGCTTTGAGAACAATAGATGCATATTCTACCGCCAATAGATAAAATGTATTTTCAGTGTATCTAATGAATGGAAAGAAAAAACATAACATGAACCTCTCGTAATTCGAAGCTTTAGATGCGCAAAGCTAAAGGACATTAAATATCATAAAAACCCAACAAAAATCAAACATCAACGGATGTATCTATATTAAAATGCATTACCGTCATATCTATGGCCAAAAATACAACATATATATGAAGGGAGAGGTGGAGAGAGAGAGAGATGTATATAACTTGTGGGTTCATGGAAGCTATTGTTGATAAGGTCTAAAAAGATTGAAACAATGGAGTTCTTATTGCTTTTCGGGTATCAAATGAAGGGAAGAGAGGAAGAGAATTACTAGTAAGGACTGGAGCGAGAACAGTGGAGGCAGAGATTTTACAGGCTTGGTGCAGAACAAAAAACGGATTTGATAAGTCCGCTTACACGTGAAGTTGTCTTTAGTAATCCTGCTTTTCCAATAAAGTTAGTTTTAGTACTTTGGCTTTTAAGATAAAGTCGAACTTGGTTCATTTCTATTTTTAAGAAAAATCAGACTTGATAATTTTACTTTTAAAACGACGGTACATTCACTTTTTCAGCATATTTCTATTTTTAAGAGAAATCACACTTGATAATTCCACTTTTAAAACGACAATAATATGATAAATAAATTGAAAATGACAGTAGATCGATAAATAAATTTTAAAAGAGCTGTATAATAGTAATAGATTCCACAAAATCCTTCGGCAATGAGTCAACCTTCTCTAGGAAACACGTTAACACTTCCAAAATTGACGTAAAATTACAGTAAACCACGAAAACAACCAAAAGCGAAGCTCATTATATCAGATCGAAAGCTCGAAGTCTAGAAACATAAAATTTGGTCATGAAAATGTACACAGATTTCAATATTTGCACGACAAAGTACAGATCTGTGGGAGAGATGATGAGAAGTTTAGGGATATTGAGAGAGTTACTTAGAATAGGCGACGGCTCTCGAATCATTCAAAACCGAAAAGAGCGTCTTAGCCTCAGACGTTACTCTCTCTCTCTCTCTCGATTGCCCTAACCAAACATGAAAATTCACTGCCCTATAAACAACTCCTAACATAAACAGCCAAAAAAAATAGAAAAAAGATTAATTACAGCAACAATTACCTGAGTTGCAGAGAGAAACAGATCTGATGACTCCATAATCTATCGTCGGAATTGACAAGAATTAAAGATTAGCTCTCAAAGTCGATGCTAGCTTGAAATCAGGGTTTGAGGACCAAAGGCTCTCAGAAAAGAAATCGGTGGAGAGAGAAAGAGAGGGAGATAGAGCACCTCAGGCTGCGAATCACACTGTACCTCACTCACCTTCGTCTGCGGCTCTGTCCTCTTATGTAGGCATGAGACAACCAAGGTGAGAGAGAGAGAGGTTTCTGGTGATGACAGAGACGGGCTACATGAGTCAGTTTTCCATCATTCAAGCCATATGTTAAATTTAACTTACTCATACTTTCGTCATTTTGATCGTATTATTCCATGTTAACCTTTTTGTTTCCTTTCCCTAACTAACCTTCCTACTAACATGTAAATAGCATCATAAACATGTTCTCAAGGTTTACAACGCCCTACAAAACGGGAAAAAAACTTTAATTCTCCCAACTATGGATAGACAGACCACCAAATTGTGTAAAGACGTGTTTGCATGATTTAAATGGATAGCAAAGAGTTTGGTCCCTACACATTCCCATTCTTGACTGTAAAACTCAGTAATATTTCACTTTTGGTGTTCTTTTATAACACTTTCTAGAGTGATTTCAAAACCGGTTTGAGAGAGGCACTATGTCATTTGGACAACTTTTGCATTAATTTCATTCTCATCCAACAAAGTAGATATGTAATTCGCAGAGGAAAAGGACCCAAAAAAAAAAAAACACAACTTACACATACTTAGTGATGCAATACTTATAGGAATACCTGCTTTTGAAAGTGTCAATGAGAATCTCAAACATTACATACAAGGAATAAAACCCACTTTCGACATGATAAGTGACACCTTTTGGAATCCGATGCTCAGGGGAAATGGCTGCGACTCGTGCTCCTAAAAGCTCCCTATCGCCTCTGGAAATTGAATGCTTTGATGGAAAACGCAAAGATGAATGTGAAAAGAACTGCAAACCCGGCAACAGCGGCTGCAGCTACTCCAACAAAATCATGTTTATAACCAAAGTAACTTCTCAAGAAGTCTTCAACTGCTACATCTGTGTCCAGGGTTTCCTTTATATCTCCAAACTGCGATGCAATCAAACCATACAAGGTCCAAGCAACTGGACATGCCCAATAATACCATCTCCACCACACAGGCATCCTCTGGAGTTGGAAAAAGGAATATAGTAAGTAGTTAGTTCGTAAGCTCTGCATATTTTATACACATCTTAAAGATAAATGACATTGTCTGAACTTACTGTGCGTGGGATTAAGAATCCCGAAAAGACATTCCATATTGCATAAAATGCAGAGGCGATAATTGCCGCAATGTTGTGGTTTGGAGTCACAGCCACAGTCATCATGCCATATAAGGTGAAGTACAATAATGTGAAGTACATGAAGAACAAGTACCAAAAGAATTTACCGACTGTCCATTCAAATCCAATCATTGCATAAACTATAACTCCATATACTACAGCTTGAGCAAAGATATACGGAAGTTCAATAATAACCTGCAACACAAGAATGAACTTCCTCGATGAACGTAAACACTAAGACTTCATTTTAATCTGAAGATTTTATTGTAAGACTAGATACCTGTCCAAAGGCATAAGGCAATGCTGAATACATTCCAGCTGCTCTTTCTCTATAAAATACTGTTCGTTCTACAGCCACCACTGGCTGCACCGATGAAGCATTTTGAACCCCTAGGAAGATAACAGCGGCATACATAGAACCCATTGCATTGAACGGATCTTGCTGATTGGTCCTGCAATCCATCACATTTGAAAGAAGAGAGGTAAATTTAAGATGGAAATGGAGACTATAAATGTTTAAGTTTCTGGACATATTTATTCTGTGTTTTGCGGCTTACTTTTTGGAACCAAGATCCCAGAAAATTGTCCCAAACATCAGCGCTATGAAGGTTGTGAAAAGAAATCGCACTGCCGTGTAGGGCAGGTTGCGCCAGTATGACCAATGCTGTTTCCATAGGCAAGCCAGGCATTGTGTGAGGAAAGTCTGGGAGTATTGAGTAGGGAAATAAAGGTCCTTGGAACCAGGTCGAGGCGAACTTAGTTCACTTATCAGATCCTTGATTCTGCTGAATATATGAAAAACATCAACAGAGCTGTCAACAACAAATTTAAGATGCATAAAAATACCATGACCAAAATAACCATCTTAAACATTATATAGTAGAATGTATTACAATTGACCCAACCTGTGCAGGTCCGAATTTTTGTGTACTTCAGCAAAATCAACCCCCAGAATCATTTCCTGAGCTGGAGAAGTAACTTTCAACATCCATGTTGCTGGATTATAGCCATCTTTGATTTGGCTCACTCCGTTGATTCCCTTATTCAAAAGCAAGTCATGTTTTTAGCCCTTACATTTTAAGCATAAGTACTTGAAATAGTAGGATATTTATTGCTTGTATTTCCTATTTGTTCGTTGCCATCTTACCTCAAAGTAGTTGATCAATTGGCAAGAATGGTGACCCAGTGGCCCCACATATATCTCTTGTCCTCCCCTCTTCATCAGGAATAGCTGCAATCCCATATTTAATACTTCAGTGTCCCATACAAAGAAGAAAACAGAAAATGAATCTAATTGGTTTAAAATATTTCCAGTTTTCACCTCATCAAAAGCTTCAAAGATATCGATACTTGGCTGATGGATGGTGCATACAACTGTTCTTCCAGTGTCTACAGTGTTCCTAACTGTTCTCATCACAATTGCAGCAGCTCTTGCATCCATCCATGAATATTATAGAGGGGTTTGCCACCAGCTCCACGGCAATGGTTAGCCTCTTGCGCTGCTCTGTTGAAAGGCCATTTACACCTGGCAACCCCACTAGTGATCCCCTCAATGGGTTCAACTCCACTAGTTCCATGACCTCCTCAATGAACATCTGGAGAAAATAATCAGAATTAGATAGTGGCAAGTGCCAATCAATCATGACCTTCTTGCCGATTTTGAATTGTTCACCTATTCCTCACAGACTAAAATTTTGGTTCTCTGATTAGTTGGCCTTTCTAGGAGCTGATAAAACTATTTACAAAGATTTGAGCAGCAAAATCACTATAGTACTCACGTGCACACCTACTTGCACACGAAAAAACAAAAACTTGAATGGTACTAATATGGAAAAAAGAGCACACTGATCGTCATCAACTCGAATTTCTTTCCTTCAGCTTATTTCACTGTTCGATTAGGGGCGCTCAAACTTTTTAGTTTGGCTGATGACACACCCGAGCTTGAGAAACACCAACCGAACAATTATGCGTTGATTTCGCAACTCATCAACAACACTGGTAAAAAAATGAAGAAAAATAAACCTTTTCATGCTCCATAATTCTCATTAACCTTTATATATTTTTTTAGGTCAAGCTCATCAACTTGGCTTACCCACAGGGCAAGCTAAGAAGTATGAGCTCTAAGTTGATGAAGTTTAGACCAGGTTTAGACCACCTTAAACTTGAACAAGGATGACAGGATTTGTAATTGAATATGAGTTGATCTTGAGTGTGACAATAACTCAATCAACTCTGCACTTTTCACTGCTTTGGAATTTGAAGTTTATATCTAATTGGGCTGTACAAGATAGGAAACATAATTGGATGCACCAACCTTTCTAGTTTTAGAATCAACTTCTGGAGGTAACCTTAACCAAGCGGAGTAGAGCAGGGACTCGTACACAGTAACATGAGGAGAGTGAATGTCATTCTGTTCACAGTATCCAGAAATACGAGCAAACGTCTCTTGCTTCTTTGGATAACCAGAAATTGTAATGGTACCCTCAATGTATCCACCAGTTTTCCGCCCAGCAAGCACATCCATCAGAGTTGTTTTACCAGCACCACTGACACCCATTAGAGCTGTAAGAACACCTGGCCTGAAAGCTCCACTCACACCCTTCAGAAGCATCAATCTATCTTCAGAAACACCCTGATCTTTCATTTCCTGCAAATTCAATTTGAACAGTTAAGACTCGTTATATTTGGAATGTTTAGCCTAAACAAGTAGCTTAATTTAGTCAAAACACATGCATAAAAACATATCAATTGTTCAATTACGCAGTTACCTGTGGCATGTCAACAGAGTATTTAATTTCGTCAAAAGTGATAGAATGTGGTTCAAATGGAAGAACCATTCCTCTTTTTGTTTTGATTGGCCTCATCAATGGCTTCTGTTCTCATTGATGATCGAGATGAAGCACTTCTAATTTGATCTCCTCTCTCTGCATGTCAATTCGAATTCAGGTTAGCAAATAAAGACAACAACATAATGTGCACACAACCATTGTACAAAAGATTTTATCACCCTGAGCTGAAACTCCGCCAAGAGAGCTATATCCTCGGGATGATAACTCAATGGATTCTCCTTTGCTTTGACTTTCTTCTGGTACAACAGCTTGAGGCTTTCCAAAAGCTGCAGAATGTTGTTGAATATTACCATGAAGGATGTTATGTTTAAGTAGTTTTAGAGCTAATAATGTAGAGATACCCATGGTTAAGATAAGTGAGGCCCACAGTGAAGCCAAAGTTGAACAGGATTGTGAATCCAAACAATGCCGCGATTCCTATCCAATACCAGTAAGCATATAGGAAGAGTCCTCGAGACTTCAGAAGCATAACTCCTAGTGGTTCTGTTGTATTTGGAAGAACCTTTGACATGAAAGTGAAATAAAAATTCAGCTGATTCTAATTGAGACACAAACGTGGTCACAAGAATGCAAGCAAACACCATAAACTCATTTGGCTCACATGTCTCCAACTAGTCCCGAGAAATTCATTCACTGCAATCACATTCACCCCATACATCATTGGTGACGCCCAATAACCCCATATCCACCATTTCTTGACATCCACTGAGGCACCGAACAAATTGCACAGAATCATTAATCAATGTGTAGCTATGCAATACTTGTTTCAAAGCTTCAATTTACATTTCATACCTCGTGATAGGATAAAGCCACATAATGCAAAAAGTGCAAGCATTACAAAAGACCCAAATGTGTTTGCAACGATCAGGTTCCTACCCACTGCCCCAACAAATCGGAACAATCCAGAAGCCATCTGATTGACGAGTAAGAGCAACAGATATTGTTTAAACAATCTGCAATAAAGAATTTATTTCAACTTCACTTTAAAAGAACTATTTGAAGAAATTGTCTACAAAGTAAGCATATTCATTAATAATTTTGGTCTAGAACTTTACCTTCCGACATTTGGATCAAACCCAATTACATAATAAGTGAGAAATACCCACAGACCAACTTCTAAAAGTGTGAAGGGGATCTTGAGGATCCATGTGGGAAGAGCATATGCCCAGGAGGGATAAAAGAGGTAGTCCCTTTGCTTGTAAAAGACAGGAAGCTTTCCGATTGTCATGGCAAGCTCTGACAAACCATTGAACATGATCATGACCACAGTGAAAAACAAAGCACCCATATATATCCCTCCATCATTAGTTGAATCTCGGTGCATCCCGGTTCTTAGGAAGAGTATCATGGTGATCATTGCCATTATGGAAACCTACACAATCATATAGAAATAATTATTAGTGATTGCAACTGAATCCCAAATTTAGAAAGATGCTTAGAGCAAATACTCACTTGGGAGAGCTTGAATATGTAGACGAAAGAATTTCTCTTCATGAGGAGGAATTCTCTTGAGGTACAAGCTTTCAATAGCTCCTTCCTCGGAACACCATAATTTTTGGTCGTCAAAGCAGCTGGGTGGCTTTTTCTTTTGTCAAATTGGGTTGCCAGCTCATCTCCCAGTGTTCGCCCCACATGGAACGACTGGAATGACTCAACAAATTCACTGACTGTGACAAATCTGTAAGGCTCATCTTTGCGTGCCCAATATTGCCTCTGATCTTTCTTGGATGTCACCTATAATAAATTCATTGTTCATTATACCTAATATGAGATGTGAAATATGTAATCTCATTATTCCTTTCCCTCATACAAAATCAGAGGAACAATGAAATTGCACTTACTTCTTGCAAAAAGTCAGCCACGCCTTTCCTTTCCGGACATTTAAAACCAGAGGACTCAAAAAACTCAAGCACATGCTCACGGGGACCCTGGTACACAATCTGGCCGTCGGATAAAAGAATGATATCATCAAACAGCTCAAAAATCTCAGGTGCTGGCTGCAGGAGAGAGATGATGGCAGTTCCTTGGAAAATGTGGATAAATTGCTTGAGCGAATTCACAACCTGAAACGTTGTTGAACTGTCCAAACCAGTTGATATCTCGTCCATGAAAAGTGCATTTGCTGGTCCAACCAACATCTCACCTGTAGTTGAATAATGAAAAATTTTCGTTGTCAGTCCAGTATCACAGAGCAAAATTCTATTTATATCAATGTTGGATATGGAGTTTGTTTTACCTGTTGTGACACGCTTTCTTTGTCCTCCAGAGATGCCCCTTATCATTTCATCCCCAACCATAGTATCTGCACAGATTTCCAGCCCCAGAACCCGTAGTTTTGGAAAGAAAATGTACAAAACTTGTGCAGTGTTACAATATTAATATATTATAATAGATGATTTGAAATACCTTCAGAACATATTCCGTGACCACACTTGCCTCCTGGCCTTCTGTTGCTACTGCCTGCATCATTAGAAACAAAGAAGAACATGAATAAGAGCTTCGGTTACATAAACATTACCCCAATCAACAGTCAAAGTAGCTCCTTTCTTACCTTCATGAAGACATCAACATCAGGATCAGGCTTAATATTCGCTGTTTTCTCTCTTCTTGACAACTCTGCTAACATCTCTGCATATGTTCAAGACGAATAATTAATGCATTTAACAACCAGTAAATATACAATATATCAGTATTAGCACATTCCGACATATATGTACATACATACCACAGTGTAAATCACAGTCTGCTGTTTGAATGTATACAAAGAAGAACATGAATAAGTGCTTTGGTTACTCACCATAGCGGGATCCGACCCCTTGGCATCTAGCAGAGAACGAAAACGTTTCTCTCACAGTCATTTCCCCTATATGGAGATCATGTTGGCTTATGTAGGCAGCAGTTCTCTGGGGTACAAACTCATCCAAGCCATGGCCATTATATGTCACCCTACCGGAAACCTTGTGTTACAGAAATGAAAAATGTCCGTAGTCCAAATTGGGTATGTAAATCGATTCCAGAAAACTTCTATACAAAAATTGAGAGACCCTCAGAAAAATTAAAGCAGCAATGCCTGTATACCTTTAGATCACGGTCAAGTTTCCCGGCCAAAGCCAACAAGAGTGTTGTCTTGCCAGAACTTGGAGGACCTAGAAGCAATGTCAGTCTGAAACATCACATGAACAAAAAAATAAATAAATTTCCCAGCAAATTAACAGAAAAAAAAATGGCAAAAACTTTGAACTAAGATTCAAGCTTACCTGCGAGGCTTGATGATTCCGCTAACATCATGGAGGATAGTTAGATGCCTTGTTTTTATCAGGAAGTACATGGAAAATGTTCAAGAATTCCTGTTGGAAACAACCAAAAAAAATAATATTAGAATGAAAAACCATTTACCCAAAACAAGAACAAAAACATCAAATTCTGCCCACGCACACACACACACACAAATTTGCCTGTTGTTACCTCAAATATATTAACAAAGAAGTTAAGGAAAGTAGGCAGAGCTCTGCCTCCTACATAAGCCTCTGCTTCAACATTTAGATGGTCGAATCTAACTTCAATTTCAGGCAAATCAATTCCAACTCTGAGAAATTCCACGGAAGAACACAAACCCGTTATTGACAAAACCAAAATAGAATAGCATTTATAAACCAAAAACAAATAAGATGCAAATTCGAAAGGAAAAGATTGGAAAAAATCTTACTTATCAATTCGATCCCTGAGCTTTAACAAGAACTTCTCATTATCTTCTTCTGCTACTTTAATCAGCCTCTCAATCAAAACCTTTCTTTGTTCAAACCCAAGATTCGCTACATCAACCTCATTCACACCAGTTGATCCAGGCAACAGACCTTTCTTCAATCGTCTGAAAGTGGGAAGCTTTTCAAGGGAAGCCCATTTAAGAGCTTCTTCGTCATCTTCGTCTCGTGAAGATTGAGAAAATATTTGAATAGCACTGTCCCTCCAAATCGAAGAACTTTGTGCTCTTAAACTACTACTGGCTTTATAAAGATCACCGGTATCCATGGCAACCCAATCCGAAGAAGAAACTCAGCGCTACACAAAAACCCCCCACCAAGATAAAAGTACTCTTTTGAAGAAACTCAGAACAACTCAAAACCCACCAAGAAAAGGCATTGTTTCTTCAAAGAATAGACCATGAACCTCAAGATTCGCCAAGTTTAACAAAAATGGGAGATGGGTTAGCTTTAGTAGTTGAAGAGGGAAGAGAGATTCAAGGAGCTAAGTTTTAATGTGTGTCGTGTGTGGACCAATCTCTGTATGATCTTGTTGCAAGAATGTGTTGAAGGAACTGAGCAAATGTTAGTGTAGAATTTTTAGTGTCTAGACTCTAGACCAAACAACCCCGTATACGATGACATAGACATACGTATGGAAAAATGCAGACAGCAAGCGGCTTTTGAAGACTCATCGTTGTGAATTTTGTCTAGATTTTGAGGTGGTGGAGATATTGAGTGAGTGATCCGCAGAACGTGGAGATTATGGGAGGCAGAAAGGCTCCATTTTGACCCCTGTAAAGGTTTCGTTCAAACCTCTTCTTCTGCTACATTTATTTTTTTTTTTGTTTTTTTTTGGAGAATTACACCCAGACCCCTGTGGTATATCACTTAATCACTTAAACCCCTTAAAATTTAAAATATTATCATAAACCCCTAAATACCCGTTAATAAATTACATATAGATCCTCTAAAGTTTGTATATGTATAATATTTAGACCCCTTAAGTATAAAATATTATACTTAAATAAAAAATACTCTAATCAAAAATATAATATCAAATATTTTAATTTTTATAATTTAAATTTATGTTATGTCGTGTCATTTATTGATATAAATCAAAAAAAAATTTAAAAAATTATAATTAGTATACAATTATACTATTTATTGGAATAAAATTTTAAAAAAAAGGTCAAACTGTAATGGACACAATATCTTATATCTTTAATTAAGGTAGTTTAGTAGTTTAATAGATATATTTTATAAAATTTTACAACCAAAATTCATGATATTATGTCACAAATATAAAATTTTAATTGTTTATTAAAAACTAATTATTATTATCTATATAATAAAATACATAGGAAATTGAATTTTATCTCCTATACATTCTCCCCGCCAAAACCATCACATCACTCATTTCTATCACATACTCAACCATTTAATATTTGATTAATTTGTTATTTAACATAATTTTTGTTTCAGATATTATCCATACATGATAATATATATTTGTTAAAAAAATTTATCCAATTACATATTTTGAGAAAATTTTGTTAATATCTTCAAGAAAATAGTAGGTAAAAATAAATTTTGAATAATTTAATCAAATAAATGAATGAAAGAAAAATTATTATTTAATATAGCAATATCGATTTTTTATAACTCGAATTTTTTGATCTATCGTGTCTTCAGACACGGGTTATGACTAGTACAATTATATTATCTATTGGAATAAAACTAAAAAAAATAAACAAATGGTCAAATTGTTATTGATACAATATCTTTTATATTTAATTGAGGTAGTTTAGTCGCTTAATAGATAGTATAATTGTATATTAATTACGATTTTTTAAGAAAAAAATTAGAATTTTATTTTTTAATTTTATTTTAATAAATAACATAATAGAACATAAATTTTGGTTACAAAATTTAAAATATTTGATATTTTATTTTTAGTTGAATTATTTTTAGTTTAAATATAATATTTTAAATTTGAAGGGTCTAAGTTTATGTTTATAAATTTCAAGGAGTTTGAATAAAATTTATTACCAAATATTCTAACGGCAAGGTTAACACTTAGAATACAAATTTTGAAGAGTTTATGTATAATATTTTAAATATTAGAGAGGTAAGTAATTAAGTGTTAAATATTAAGGGAATTTAGTGTAATTTCTTTTTTTCATGGGTTGGGAGGCCCGGGGTGGCGGCGTAGGCGAGGCCAGAGGGGGTGTGCGTATATGGTATAGATTCTTGAACCATAAATACTGATCAAACATAATTTAGAGAGTCAATGGATTTTTATAAATAAAAAAAAGTGAGGAACCAAAAAGAGTGTGTAATCGCACCTGTTACTTTTTTCCAAATTAGCATAATGGTTAACTATCGAATTGTAATGTAAATTTCAAGACTCAAACTCTAACTTCAATATGAAAAATTCGACTAATACCCGACTAGACCACCCCACACTCGGTGCTAGAGAGTCAATGAATTGTGATTATGAAATTAATAATAATTTTTATTTAATATTAAAAACTATTAATAATTCAAGGGTCGCAATTATTAAATTCTTAAATTATATTTCAATAGTATTACTATTGAAAAATGTATGTGTTTTTGTTTATATTCTTTCAATTATGTCACGTTATTTGTTAAGTTGTTAATTTATATCACTTTCTTTTAGTGAAAAAAGAAATTAAAATTGACTAATTGTGTTAATCACCTCGGTATCATGTAATTAACCACATTTGAGAATTTTCATGTGGGACGAACATAATTATCTACATTATTTTCAATTAGATTGAAGTGATGATACACTTTCTCTATTTTTCTTTTTTGTTATAAAATATTCAAAGACTTACGCCGACTATATCTTCAACCTCAACAACGCGAAAACATGAGAAAGTAGCTTATTCAATTTGAAAAAAAGGGGAATAAAGTGAACAATGCATATGCATGATTCTTGCTTGCCAAGCCAACAAGAAGAACAATTTTCACAGTTAAGACGGATGAAAAAGCGGAGTCTAATATATTTTATGAGTAATGTTAGATGAACTTAAAAATTAGACTTGATAATCTCAACTATTGAATAAGTAATGAGTCTCAATAAATATTGATAGTGTAGCATATTCTTTTTTATTTTATTTTATGAAAAATACAGATATTGGACCCTAATTATAGAAAAATAATCGTAAAAAAAATTCAAATCTCCTTCAATAATTTTTCTCTTTTTTAAACCTTAATCCTTAATTTGATGAGTGACCCACTTACATTTATTATGTTGCATTTAAAAATTCATGACGAATTATTTCTCATATATAGAGAAATTGACAAAGAGTATAATACAAAATATTCAAAACTCGTAAAATAATATCACCACGATCTCACTTTAACTACCCCCTTCAAAGCCTACAACCACTAGGTTACTATAAATGATTTGGTAAGGATTTTAGCTTGTATCCTTATAATTAGGACAACCTACTTACAAGAAGATGTGATTCTAAAAAAGAAAGAGAGAACACATAGAGATCTTTGATTTTTTTTTTTTTACCGGTGAGTGTTTGGATTAATTTATTTGTATTTTAATTATTATTTTTTTCAATCAGATAAAAAACAAGCTATCCATGCCGAAATTAGAATATTTATGAAGGATAAATTTTTTCTGATCTGACCTAAAAAAATTGTTGAGCTATGTTTTACCTTGAGTTTATGATTTTTTTTTCCTACATAGAAGTCGTCGTCTCATTCACGTCGATCACCATCCACATGTGGCCTACCTCAGAAACTAGGATAATTGCATCTTTTTTTTTATTTCTCGAATCTCCATCACAAGAAGAAAGTATTTAATTAATCACCTAATTAATACTTATTACGTAAAATTATTTTATAGTTGTGATGTATAGTCATTGGGAAGTTCGAATCTTACTCTTTATTTATGATGACGACTACCGAATGTACCTATCATGAAAATCATGATATTTATTATTTTTTTAAGGAGAAGTTATAACTAAAAGAATTATGATTAATTATAAAAAAATTATTATTTTTTTTAAATCAAATTACATCTTGTAAACATGAAATTATAATTAATTGAAGATATTTACGATCGATCATGAATAGTGTTATCGATCATGAATAATTGTAATTTATCTTTTACAAGATTTAATTTGATCTTTAATTAGCAATGTTGTCTTTTCGTATGGTACCCAAAGAAAAAAAAAATCGTTTGATAACTTGGCCTTTTCCCTTATTTATATTCCTTGTGGGTTTATACAATCAAGTCCTTAAGGTGCGGATTCTTTACTGTTAGAAAATTAACAAGAGATGTATTTTTGACAAAAACATCAAAACGACGATATTTTGTTAAATAGAACGACGTTATTTTAATCAACAACAGAAAAGACAAACCCTGCGTTCACATCGTCCATAATCAAATTCGTTTTATTTAAAGTTGAGTTTGGCCCATTCACTTGATTAGTTTGGTTCCTAATTATGAACCATAATTGTTAATTTCGTGTGGTGTTAGTACTTCTCTCTCCCTCTTTTCAACTAAACTTCTACATGTGGGGGAGGGAAGGGTGGTTTTTAGGTTAAAATCATTAAGAGACCAAGATGTTTGTTTGCTTCACGGCTTATTGGTGGTGATGAACAAATGGGAAAGTGCAAATACTAGCCATGAAAAACAATAAGAAATGCCAGATAGATTTCATGTGTAAACTTAGAATATGGACTTGATCGATCATTGTTATTGATTTCATCATGGGTCTCAAATAATAAATAATATCAAAGCATTGAGAAATTTAATGGAAAGAAGAAATTAATACCTTTTTTATAAGTATTGAAAACGTTCGAGTCCTACACATTGAAAGCGACTCTATCATAGCCCTTTTTAGTTGGGGGATCATGTACCTTTTCAAATAGTGTTTGATCGTCGAAAACAAAACCATGACCATACTTATTTTTTAGTAAATAATAATAATTTAGGTCGAAATTTCGGATCATGGTATGT